TAATTTAATGGCCTCCCCCTTCATTTTAGCCTGTGCTTTGAAGGAAATAAAAACAATAGCCTTGGATAGAGAGATTCTTATTTCTTCTACCCTTAGACTGCTACCAGATACAGCTTCACAAGGCATGTGAGTCTCCCCTACCTTAAAGAATGTTTAATAGGAGGTGCAAGGAAAACCTAGGAAGAGGGTGGGTCAGGATTTTTTCCATGTCCCAGTCTTGTCTCCTGGGAACCCTCTGGCCTGTGTATATTAACCTCGGACTGAAACAGAATATGTGGCTTTGCCAGCCCTACAGGCCCCATGGTAAGGGCTTTCCACCATCTTGAATTACAGACCATAGACAGAACGGACCTCTCTTAGCAAAGCTATATTCCCTTCACTTTCTGCTGGAGTACAGGCCACCTCCAGCCTGCCTCTCATAGTACTTTGTTGAAGGCTGCCAGAAATAGACAACCAACTGCAACATCCTGAATTTTTTCCACCAAATTAAGCGTTGATAGGTACTCTGTCTGCATCAGAGACACAAAAAGCAAGTTTTGCCCACTGTGTAAATAAGACATCCACCTGCCCAGTCTGGGGTATGGCACCCATTTGGCCACTCCTAGACTCCTCCACTTGCAAATCCATAATTTAAGGGGCATTTCTTACAGCACTTTCTGGTGCAAACTCTCATCACTCTTCTTGAAATTTAGCTTCACCTCTCCATGTTCTAAGAAAAAAAAAAAGGCCTTAAAGTGAGTAACTTCCAGCAAATCCCTGTTAATGTGTTAGAATTCTCAAAGGAGTCTCCCCAGAACCCTCATCACTTCTAGAGTGTCTGGATTTCGGTGGAGAGACTCTTGAAAGTAGAAACATCCCCAGAACCACATCTGTTGGTGGACTTTCACTGGTGGCACTGGGACTGAAGGCAGGACGATGAAGAGAGCAAGCCTAATGCAGCCAGATAACTTGGATTTGAGCACTGACTTCACCACCAACTATGTGAATCTGACCCAGTTACCTCTCTAGGCCTCAGTTTCCTCACCTGTGAATTTGTGAGTAACAATACGTCCTGTAATATGAAGGCTTAATTAGAGATATAGAGCACCTAGCACTGTGCTGGCCGTAAAGCAGGTGTCCTCCACCTACAACAGTCAATATCTCATTCTAAGCATGGAGAAGCAGTGGGAGATGCTGAAAGAGGCCACATATGGATAACGGGCTCTGGGAGCCTGTGATCTTGGGGCCGGCGTTGCTCTTAGATACCTAGGATCAGACTCAGTGATTCCGCTAAAGGCATCGACTGAGCAGTGTCTGCTGGGGCTCAGCGTCAGACTTTGCTGTCTTCAGCAGTTGATCTTGACCCTCCAAGTGCTGACGCCCACAAGGAAAAGCCATGCTTAGAGCTGGTGGCGGCCAGGATGCCTGGAGAGGAAAGCTGAAGGCAGCTACTTCTAAGACTCCAGACTCTTCTGGAATAGGTTCAGCAGGACTTAGGATCCCAGGGTGGAAATAGAGGTGGAAAAAAGGATAACCTTTGCCTGTGAGCAGCCCCTGTGACCAAAAGCAGGCTGACCATCTACCTCATGAGATGGAAAAGCTTAGATCTTTCTGGAAAAATCACCAAATGAGTCTGCACACTTAAGGGAGGATTACTAGAGAATATTAAACATGCAACTTTAGTTAATAAAATTCTAACTTTCCTTCAGGCGTAGTGTCAGATCACTCACCATACAGCCTCAGAAAATTAGTAACATGCAAAATCCATCCCCTTAAAGTTTCTAAAAGAATCCTGGTCCTGGGGACCACCACTTAATTTAAAACTTCTACCCTGAAAATATGGAAATTGACCTCATCTGTAGGAATCAGTACCCCCCATCCATGTTTGATTCCACTTCCTGTTATCTCTTCTAGAACATTCCTGTGCTTTTGTGGCACCCGCCTCCTCGCCTCACCCCAGTAATTCACATAGAGGGTGTGTGTGATATAGCCCCTGGGGGTTCTTGCTTAATTGTAATTACTCACATTAAAGCCACGCCTCGAATGATGCCACATTCTCCAGGCTGTAATGTGGACCCAGGCGTGGATAGACATGGGCCGTGTGCATCATGGCCCTGGATTTTTAATTTCTAGGAGGCAGCTTGATGGAAGCTGGCAGAAGATCTTGTACTTCTTCGGGGCTTTCGCTAACCCTCAAATAAACCCTCTTTATTTCCCAGCCACGTTTATTGATCTTCAGGATACAGGGAACGGTCTTATAATATTTCTTCCTAGGAATATAAAACACCTTCCTTCCTCCTTCCCTTCCCTTCCCTTCTTTTCTTTCAGCCAGCTCTCCTCCCTCACCACCCCAGCTCTTGCTCCCTTTTTTCTTTTTCTCTTCTCATCTTCTAGCTCTCTCTTCCTCGCTTTTTCTCCCATGACTGATTTCACTGGTTTGCTGCTACACTGTTTAATTTGTTTTTATCATTCTGAATGTGTGCCCAGGGACTTTCAGGCCAAAGGCCAACTTTGAAAATCCCTAAGACAGTGACATCCAAGGTGCAGGGCTTCTGTGAATGCCTGGGCCTGAAGTGTGTCAAATGTGTGTCCGGGGCATGGATCCAGCGGGGCTGCAGATCTTCTGCCCCATCCTGGTCTGCCAGGCCCCCAGGGCAGCGGCTGGGGACCCTCTGCCAGCAACTCGATGCAGAAGGAAAGTGGGAGGTGTCTGGGGCGCTTCTCTCCTGTTGATCCTTCACTAACCTCCCCCTTCCCACCCTATTAGGAGAAGTATTTATTTAAAAACAAATCCTTCCTGCATGACTTAGCTGTCACTCTTTTAGTTTATGAGACCAAGATTCCCACAGTTCACTGCGTCACAAATCCAGCCCTCCTCTTCCCTTTGGTTCATTTTCTCTGTCTTCCTGCTTTATCAGTTCCTCTGTGGTCTCCTGCCTCTCCTTCTCTGGGTATCTCACCCTCTCTTCTTCATTGACACTGTTCCTTGTTTCTTTCTCTTATCTCTCTTGAGATGAGGTACCATGGGGAGCTGGGAGCAAAGAAAAATGGGACACTCTGGAGAGAAGTGTGTCAAACATGCCCAGGGTATGAACCAAAGCCTTTTCTCGAGCATTCCTAAAAATGGAGGAAAAGCACAAGGAGACACCCAGACCCATGAGTCTGTGATCCGGTAACTGCTCCCCAGCCATTCCTAAGTGATTCTAGAGAGGGAGAGTCAGGGCGCTCTGGGGGACAGGAAAGACTGAATCCAAATTCAGGCTCCATCACCTGCTACTTGGTGTATGCAAGACCTTGCACACACGTGTTAAACCTTCTCAGCCTTGATTTTTCCATCTGTCAAATGGAGGGATAGTAATACTTTTTGAAGTTCCAGGCACAAAGTGAAATAGTAAATAGGAAATGTGTTTGGAATGTGTCAAGCACACAGTGAATGTTCATTTTCTTCTTTTTTCCCAGAGAATAGTGAAACAGCTAAGATTTAGGATAAATAATAAAAGCTTGGCAGTTGAAGCTGGTGAGAGCACAGTGTTTCATGTACTGGTTGGTGCCGTTTCCTGTGGATGGCAAGATCCTACAGGTCAATTTTTATTCTGGGTTTGTGATAGTAACTGAGTTTGATTCTTTAATGTTTAAACAGTGCCTACTTTTCCTTAGCTGGAATGACGGTTAGACCTCCCATTAGCATGCTTATTTTTTTATTTTTAATTTCACTAGCAATGCATGAAAGCATTCTCATGGGGAAAAAAAAGCAAAATCAAACAAGATAGGATGAAACGAAAATGCCCCTTGGCCGTCCCCAGAAATCTTAACTCTGTCCCAGAGGTAATAACAGCGTGGCGTGTGTCTGCTCAGCCCAAAAGGAAAAACTCTCATTCACGTGCATATGTGTACATACAGAAATGTCTAGATTTATTTTGTGATTTTAAATATAAAATGCATTCTTACTGTTACTATTTCGCAACTTGGCTCTTTGTTTCTTTACTAGTTTTAAATGCTCTGGAGGTCTTTTCTTGTCATTTTTTCTCACTGCGGTGGTACGTTCCATAATCCTCCCACTAGAATGTAAGCTCAGTAAAGAAATGTTGTCTTTTTCATTTCTTTATCCCTTAAACCTCTAACATTACCTGTCACATAATAGGTGTTTTGCTACTACATTAACAATTACAAGTATTTCTTAAATGACTAAATGAATTACTATGGATGCACCACATGCACTTTTAACTGTTCCCCTGCTGATTGACTTTCAGGTTCTTTTTTCTTTTTACCTCTTACAAACAACACTGCGGTGACTATCCTCACACAGTTTTATTGTGCATGTATACGTGGATTTCTCTGGCGTAGGTCCTCAGAAGTGGAATTGCTGGAGCAAAGACTTCTTTTTCTTTTTTAAAATTTTTTATTTTAAGACTTTTTTAAAAGCAGTTTTAGGTTCACAACCAAATTGACAGGAAGGTATAAAAATTCCCCACAGACCCCCTTCCCACACTTGCATAGCCATTATCAAATCATTCACCAGAGTGGTACCTTTTTTTTTTTTCTTTACCGAGGATGAACTACATTGACACATCATAATCGCCAAAGTCCACAGTTCACCTTAGGGTTCACTCTAGTGAAGTGACTAGTGTTACACATTCTGTGGGCTTGGACAAAAGTATAATGACATATACCCATCATTACAATATCATACAAAGTGTTTTCACTGCTCTAAAAGACTTCTGTACTCTGTGTGCTCTTCTTCCCTCTTCCTCAAACTCCTGGCAGCCATGGATCTTTTTATTGTCTTCATCGTTTTGCCTCTTCCAGAACGGCATACAGTTGGAATCTAGTCTTCCTTTCTTTTCCTTGAGAAGAGAGGTTCAAAGCCTTTATGCCTGTAAGACCACTCCTGGCCCACCCATGTGTGGACCAGACAGGCTTTCGGTGGCAAATTCCCCCTCTGAATGCTGCAGCTTTCCTTCCAGTATTGAGCCCTGTCCCACTGGTCCTGCTCAGCAGCCATGGGCAGGTGCAGAGGGGACACGTGTAGGTATTTGCTCGTAGGGAAGCCACAAGTCTTGTGCCCCTTGTCACAGTGAGCCAGGATTCCTGTTGGGCGTGCTGTAAACAGAGGAACCATTTCTTCAGCATCCCTGCTCTGAGCACACCCCAAGGACTTCTTTTTCAAAATATCCGTTGCCACAATTTCTTCCAAAGACTGGTGCCAGTCTACAGCCCTACTGCTAACACCTCTTTTTTGAGATGTCTTTTTGATAATATGTTTCCAAAACAATCATATGTAGCCCTTTTCTGTTTGATTTCAGGGAAGGAGGAGGAATGAGTGATATTTAGCATAAAATAAGAGGTGGTACAGAAATTCAGTCATCTGGTCATTTTTCCAATCATTGACTTTAGTCTCAGCCCTGTCCTAAATGCTGGGCTTGGAAAGATAAATGAGACCTACTATACACCCCAGAGGATTTCATAGTCTGGACTTAATACTTAAATACTTAATTCTTAAAATACAATGGTACAAAGAGTTATGACAACTAAATGCAAGGTCTGATCCTGGATTTGATCCTGGACCGGGAAAAACAATAGCCATAAAAAAACATATTGGGCCATTTGATGAAATTCAAATAGGGTCAGTGCATTAGATAATGTCATTTTGATAGTAAATTTCCTGATTTAGATCATAGTACTGTGGTTGTGTAAGAGAATGTTTTTGTTCTTAGGAAGTACACATTGAAGTGTTTAGGGATAAATATATGTGATTTCTCCAACTGACTCTTAAATGGCTCAAAAATATGTGTTCATATAACTCAGAGCTTCCCAGTGGAGCTTCCCATGAGGATGGAAATGTTCTGTACCTGCTCCAACAATATGGAAGCCAAGAGCTACACGTGACCACCCAGCACTCGAGCTATGGCTAATGTAAGTGAGGAATTAAATTATTAATTTTATTCAATTTAATAACATAATAACATAAATAGCTACATGTGGCTAGTGGCCACCATATCGGACAGCACAGATGTAAACCAAGAGAGAGAAAAAATACTGAAACAATTCGGCAAAGTGTAAAGAATTGGTGAGCTTGTTCAAAGGGTGTGCAGGAATTCTTTGGGTTAGTCTTGCAATTTTTCTTTAGGTTTAAATTATATATTTTTAACTACATAATAAATGCAATGTCCTATCAAGGAAGTACACATTAAAATATCACTGACATATACTTTCTTGCAACTGAATTGTCACAAATAGGTAAAACTGTACTATCCGGGAGCCATGGAAAGGGCACACTTAGACATTACTGTTGAGTGTGCAAATAGGTACAACTTTTTATAACATATGCTGGCTCCCGTACATGAGCATATGTGTAAGGATGTCATTGTAGCTGTATCTGTAATACCAAGAAGTCAGAGATGGTCAAAATGTTCAACAACAACAGAATGGTTAAATGTTTTTGCTTTGTTCTTATTCTAGATTTACTATAAAGCTCTTTACCACATTGAGGCAAAACTTTATGCACTGAGAGGGAAAGGTGTCCAAGAGAGATTGTTGGGTGAAAAAAAAAAGCAATTTGCCAAACAAAATGCTTAGTATGATCGCATTTTTATAATAAATCACTGAAACCACACACACACTCACTCGCTTCCTCACGTTTATGTGTACATGGGAAAAAGTTTGGAGAAATACACATGAAATAGTTAGCAGACCATTCTCCAGAAAGTCCTCAAGTCTTGTGGGAAGACCACCCAGCTCCATCTCTTGGGCTGGCTGTGGAGGGTCCTCTGTGAGAGCCTGGTGCTGTAACAGCAGAGGTACCTCCAGCCAGCCAGAAATCTCAAGCTGGTGCCCATCAGCTTGTTAGCTGCCCCTCTGTGCCTGCACCCCCAAATCTCCAGGAAACGCCCCCTGGCATGGTCTGCCATTTCCAAGCCCACACATTGCCCCTCCCCATAGCCACCAGGCCTGTGGGGCAGGCAGGGTCATTACCGAGTTCCTAGAAGGGAGTGTTTATTATTGTTGTCGGTTTGATGCTGATCCCAAAAGGACCTAATCAACAGGTAATAAGATCTCACGGGAGCGATTAGAAACCTCAGCTTTAACCCTGTTGTAACCACAGTGGAGACAACCAGAGCCATGGCAGAGCCATGTCCCTCGCTGAACGGGACCTGATGGGGAGGAAATGGATGGGAAAGTGGGAGGGAGAGCCAGAGACAGACTGGTGGGTGTGCTCAGGGATGGTCTGGAAAGGGAATCTGGGAGGAGGGGGCACATCTAAGATTGAGTATACCCAGTAAGATCCGTCATCAGTGTCGCTGTCATCCTCATCAGGCTCAACTGAAGAACTGTGCTAGGTACATGAGAGACAGAAATAAATAAGCCAGAGTCCTGCCCCCAAGATGCTCCCGAATATAAGAATAAAGACCTGCATTACCATAGGAGTTACACTGCAGGGTAGGTTTATTCAGGCACAGGGCTGGTACAGAGGAGGGAACTGTCAACTTTCTTGGGTGAGTCGGGGACAACAAATGGACCAGTAAGGTGATATCTCATGGCACGCAGATGTGACATAAAGGGCTTCCTTTTAGACACCCACTTCTTTTTTTTCTTTTTTTTTAATTGAAGTATAGTTGATGTACAACGTTTGTTTCATAGAAACAGACTCACAGACATAGAAAACAAATTTATGCTTACCAGAGGGCAAAGAGGGTGAGAAGGGATGAATTAGGAGTTCAAGATTTGCAGATACTAGCTACTATATATAAAATAGGTAAACAATAAGAGTCTACCGTACAGCACAGGGAACTGTATTCAATATCTTGTACTAACCTATAATGAAAAAGAATATGAAAATGAACATGTGTATGTCTACATATGATTGAAACATTATGCTGTACACTAGAAATTGACACAACATTGTAAACTCACTATACTTCAATTTTTTAAAAATGGCTAGTTTCAGTGTACAGCAAAGCAATTCAGTTAAACATGCATGTGCATACATATATTTTCAGATTCTTTTCCATTATAGCTTATTACAAGAAACTGAATATAGTTCCCTATGCTGTATAGAAGGTCCTTGTTGTTTACCTATTTTGCATATAGTAGTGTGTATCTGTTAATCCTAAACTCCTAATTTACACCCCCTCTTCCCCTTCGGCAACCAGAGTTTGTTTTCTATGTCTGTGAATGTTTCTTGGACACCCACTTCTAACATGGACCTCCTGTGTCTTTGAAGCTGCTTTAAATCCTTTCTCTTTCTTTACAAGATTGGATATAAATAAATAAAACTAAGTAGTAATTAATTTAAAAACATATGCTTAAGCACTTGCTTATCCGTCTTGCAAGTGACTCACCTGCCAACCTGTTAGATGGAACGTTAGTCTCATCCATTAGCAAAACTTAATAATGCCTGATAAGATAACAGTACCATGACCCACACAGCAACCAAGGATGGTGTTACATAATTGTCACATGAGAACATTGGAACAGAACCGACTAACTACGTACAGGCACTTCGCTATCCTTGTCAATGGATAGTTGATAAATGCTTCGATTACTTAAACTTTCAAAGCAATTGATGAATGGTGGAGACAAGGAAACAAAGTCACATCCACAAAGGTCAAATCAGCCCCTAGTTTTTTCCAATTTGCACAGAATTGCAACAGCTTCTCTTGTTACTGTTGCATAACGTTGGGCATCTTGTAGAAAACTAGTTGCCGGTGTCCCAATGGCCATCTTGAGCAGCCCCGGCACACATTAAAGACAGAGAAACTGGACAGCAGTGTGGTAGCCATCTCACCACTCTACCTTTCATGGCCCTTAGAGAAGGAGAGTTTGTACATGTGCATTTTGCTCCGTCCTGGGTTCTCATTCTGCTAGGACAGAAGTCCTGGAAACCAAAAGCTGACACCATGCAAAGACATTTGTACAGTATACATTGAAAGCCTTCTCAGAGCTGGTAAAGAATTTCAACTTCATTGAATGAAAAAGAATTGTAAAATTACACAGATTCTTATTTCACAGTCACGCAGCCACCTAGCATCTGGCACTGGGTGTGGGAACAAAGAACAAGATCCTTGCCCTTGGAGAGACTGCACACTAATGAAAGGAGACAGAAATGATCAGAGCAGGATGAGAAAGGTCAGGCCATAGCAGAAGCTCTGGGGACTAAGAGGAGAAGCCTATAATATGACTTGGGGGAAGGGGGTCTGGGAAGGCTTCAGAGGGACATTGAAACTGGGTTTTGCAGGATCGGAGGATTCTCCTGCTTCTGGGGCTGATGTGCTAGGTAGAGGACACTGTGTGTGCAAAAGCACAGAGGTTGGAAACGGTAGGTCCACATGGGTGTGGTGGAGTGACAAAGATGAGGAGGCAGAGGGAAGACGGAGTCCAAAGGAATCTCAGTCATAAAGATCCTGAAGGCCAAGAGAAGACCATGGAGGTGTTCTTTTTTTTTAGAATTAACAAATAGAAACTGTTTTAAAAAAAAAACAAACAGTGCCAAGGATATATTTATGTAAGAATTTGTGTCATCACGAACAATGACTGCCTGGGCATTATAAACTGGTACTTTATAGTCACGTTCCCTCCGCAGGACACTTACATCATCCTTGTGCTCGCAGAACGGCCCAGTGACAGACGTATTTGACAGGCCCCTGCCTTTAGGGAACCCACCATCAGGGGAGGGACAGACTTGTGTTAAATCCCTCAACAGTGTAATAATGGAAGCAAACATGACACCCCAGCGGTGGGGCACTTTGGGGAAAGAGGGCAGGGTTGAGGGGGTGGCTGAGGGAGGCTTCCTGCAGTAAGTGAGACTTGAGCTGTGTGTTGAAAGTTGACTACGTGTTAGCCAAGTGGCGAGGCTGCAGAGTCAGGTCAAACCTCATGTCAACTGCAGCCCAGAAGGGGTTGTTCTCTCAACAGTCTGTTTGTTTCCATTACTTTTGTGTAGCTCAATCTTTGAACTGTGAGTCAGGCTGCCTTAATTGTTGAGCACCTTTCCAGAGTCCCTCAAAAAGCAACTGTCCTCAGCCCTTCACTGAGAGATTTGCCCAATGGTCATATTTGAATCCACAGGTAGCACCTAATCCCAGAGTGTGGCAACAAAACACATCACTTGGCCCAGTGACTTTGTAAAGAGTTTCAGTGGCTGTCCTCTGGA